TTTTAATAAATAAACTGCCTAAAAAAAAGTATTCCAATTCTTAATATTTTTCATTTTTATTTGAAAAGAATTAATTAAAATGGTGCCTGCTAATCTAGGAAGCACGTTAGGATACACTTCTTCTATAGGTTTGAGTTTAGATGACCAGTTCTTATATGTAGGAGCGAGATCATTGGGAATATTAATATATAATATCTAAGATCCTTTGAATCCACAATTCTTTTAGCAGCTTTAATTAACTGGATAGTCTTTTTCTATAGCATTATCTCCGAAATAAAATGTGATTTCTAACACAACATTTGACAATCAATTTATTTACTATTCTAATTCTTTATCAGTGGCTATTTATTAAAAATAGAAACCTTCCCTTTTTAACAATATTCCAAATTTATTCAATGCTTAACAATCACAATTTTTTATTGAAGGAACTGCAGTTTCTAAATGGAGATGCGCTATTTCTTCAAATAATAAATACTTCTTAGGAGGCTTAGATGCAGATGGACTTTCAATTTTTGAAATAAAAGTCAATTCATACACAAAATCAACTCCATCGACCATGCAGATCAAATATTAATTTTCTGATACATAATAATAAATTTTAAGGACTAATTAATTGAGAGTATTTGGGCCAGATGAATCAATACCTTTAGGATTCTATGTTGATAATATTTATTTCTCTAAGGATGGTTAATATATTTACTTTGCTGCATAATAATCTACTATAAATGTAATAGCCTATAAGTTTAAAGTTATAATATCTCCTGATGGAGAATATTCTTTTGAATATGTTAAAGGACTACACTACGATTAGGTCTACTATTGTGAAGAGATGAATTTCAGTGAAGATGAGTAGCATGCTGTAATGTCCTTTGATGTTGGAATAGTTTTGGTAGATATGATTAAATTTGAGGTAATTTCTATGTACACTAATTAAGGCATTATTGGAACTTGTTGTGGAGCAGTTTTATCACATGATAAGAAACATGCGCTTGCAGTTGTCAGAAATGTTGGACTTTTTATTTATGACACCTCTGATATGGCTAATCCTAAAATGGTAAATTAATGGAGGACGAATGGCGGTGAAACATTATTGCGTTCTTAAGTAAATTAAATAATTTACTTTTTGGATGGATTTAATGGTATGATTTTGCTAGATTCAACTAAGTTACCTGAAATAGTAGTTATTGGTAGTTATATTTCCTCTGGCTGGACAAATTTTATTTCTTTCACAAATGATGAAAGATATGGAATAATTTCTACAATGGACTCTGGTACTTTAACCTTGATAGACCTAACAGATAAATCTAAC